AGTAGCAAACTTGGAATAATAATAACAATAATTAACATTTAATAATAATAATAATAGCTAGCATTGATATAAGGCCTACTGTGAGCTAGGCACTGTACCAAGTGCCCTACAAATTTTATTTGAACCTTATAACAATTCTGGGTGGTAAGAGCTATTATCTCCATTTTATAGATGAGGAAACCAAGGCCAATGGATATTAAGTGACTTGCCCAAGGTCATACCACTAGTAGGTATCTGAGGCCAAATTTGAACTCAGGTCTTCCTGACTCCAGGACAAGTCCCCTATCCACTGAGCCATCCAGCCATTTATACATAGCCCTTTAAGGTTTACAAAAAACTTTGCAGGGGCAGATAGGTAGTGCAGTGGATAGAGCACCAGCCCTGAAGTCAGGAGGACCTGAGTTCAAATCTGGCCTCAGACCAAATACTTGACACTTACTTTCTGTGTGACCCTGGGCAAGTCACTTAACCCCAGTTGCCTAAAAAAAAAAGTTTAAAAAATACAAAAAACTTTGCACTTAGAAAATTAGTCTGAGAAGTAAAGTGACTGGCCCAAAGCCACACAGATAGCATCTCAGGCTGGATTCAAATGCAGTTCTACTTGACACCAAGTTCAGTGCTCTAGCTATCATACCACCTCAAAAAAGCAACCAGGATCTTGTGGCTGCCTCATCCAAACCAGAGTAAGATTCTACTTAGACCTACTTTAAGGACTTCCTTCCCTTTTAGTTCTCAGCATTCCTAAGATATTAGACATACTATTCTACAAAAAATCTCAGCAACACAGACCTAAATACTCATCCATCTTTGGAGACTTGAAGCCCCTGCTCTCAATTCTTCTGATCCAACCAAATTATTGTTAACAAAATTAAATTTGTTCTTACCATTATCTATTAAACTGAAGACTTCTGCTGCTGCCTCATCACAATGCTCTACCACAAGTATAGGTCTGAGGACTGGTTTAAGTTTGCAAAGACTCATGAACAGAAAGCTGGCTGCCAGATGATGGAAATTTTTGGCCACAGCTTAACAACTCATAAAATATCCAAACAAGGTTTGGAGGGGTTGTAATCTGCAACGATGTACTGAGTTCCATCACTAGGGAAATCACAAATGTTTAGAAGTACTTTCAACCAATAGAGTTCTGACTATGGCATCCTCCTACAGGAGGATAATTAAACATAATGAACAGTAACTTAAATTCTAAGGGATCAATCCTTGTCCATATTTTATCCCAAGTCATAGATATGCTCTCTCAGATAGTCATTAGCTTTCACGTGCCCAATTCTAATTTTTAACAAATTGTTTTCTTCCATTAGATTTTGTACCTCCTCCATTTGGCCAATTATATTTTTTAGGGACTTGTTTTCTTCAGTGTACTTTTTCCCCAGTTGGCCAATTGTATTTTTTAAGGACCGTTTTCTACAGTTAATTTTTGTCCTTCCTTTTCCAAGCTATTGACTCTTTCTTGCATACCTCTCCTTTCTTTTCCCATTTTTTCCTTCCACCTCTCTTATTTAACTTTTAAAATCCTTCTTGAGCTCTTCCAAGAAGGTTTTTTGGGCCTCAGACCAGTTCATATTCCCTTTTGAGGTTCCAGATCTGGGTCTGTTGACAATGTTGTCCTCTTCAGAATTTCTGCCTTGATCTTAACTGTTCCCATAATAATAATCCATAGTACATTTCTTTTTGCTCATGGTGTATGCTTATTTCCTGGCCTTTAAAAAGATTGAGCTCTCCTGCTGGGGAGCAGGGGGTGCTGACCCAAGCTTCTTGTGTTGGGAGCCTGGGGCCTGGTAACTGGCTTTGTGTGCTGGGGCCTCCAACATTGGCAGTTGGAGTCTGTAGGCAGCTTACCTGGTATTAAGGTAAAATCAGCAACACTGGAACTCTAGGGGAAGGATTGGATAGCCTGGCCCCTAGCGGTTGCCTGCTCACCCAGATTTTTCCTTCCTTTTGCTTTCTTTGGCTCCTTTCAGATGGATGTTTTGCTGCTGTGGGATGTTTCTCCACCTGGGGGAACCCTTGGAGCATTTCCCAGAGTTTTGCTGAGGCACTGGGAGACTTGGTTGCCGTAGAACACCAAGGCGCATGGTGGTTTTTTGAGCCAGTTTCTGCTGGTTCCCCTGCCCTTCCTGAGGCACTTGGGGGTCCTGGTGTTGGTGTTTGCCTGCTCCACCACCTGGGTTCAGGATCTCCCCTGGTATGCTGAGGTGGGGCTTTCCGCAAGCTTGCTGGGACGCCTCCCATTTTGTACTGCTCCCCTTCCACCAGGGCAAGAAGGACCTTTCCAGTAATCCCTTAAGCTACCTGGGCTACTGGACGGCTACACCCCATCTTTCTGCTGGTTCAGCTATTCCAGGGTTTTTCCTGAGGCAATATTTTCTGGCCTTTCAGAAGTTAACAAGTAGGGTGAGAGAACCCTTACTCCACCATCTTGGCTCCCAAAACAGAACTTCCCATCCAGAGTTCTTTCCATTGTGCCAAATTCTAGTTTTTTATGTGTAGAAGGAGAAGGGAGAAAGTATTGTTGGATGACATGGTTTAGGAACTGCTAAAGGACTGTCTACTCCAGCTGCATCATCCCCAAGAAGTAAGATTTGGATCAGATCCATAGACAGTGTTCAGGCTGGCTTCTGTACATCCAGGCCTAGAGCTTAAGTGTTTTCACAGATCAGTGTTTTCTCTGGACCCTCCTATAGTAGACTCTCTACTGTACACTCTAGTGACAAATGAAAGAATATCCTTTCTGGAAATTTGTTATTTAAGGAAATTGTTCAACATTCTCCAGAATTCAAAGGTGTAACAAAAACAAGCCAAACACCTCACTTTGGGCTAAGCTAGAAGAGGTGTAGGAAAACTATAAAATATATAACCTATTATCTCAATCATTCCATGCCATCATACGTGGGGTCAGGAACTCTAATTTTGTATTCTTTCTAGGTCCCCAAATTAGCTGGTCATAACTTTCCTAAAATTACACTCAGAAAACAAGGTTTGTGTGCTTCCAGCCAACATGCGAGCCTACTTCTTTTGTCAAACACAGGGCACAAATCTAATTATTCCAAATCCTTCTTTATTTACACTGGGGCCAAAGGCATATATGCAAATAGAATTTTGTCTCTGTGACTTTGTTTATACTCTTCTTCCTGCCTAGAATCCTACTCCCAAGTGTAATCCTTTCCTGCTGAAATCCTACCCATCCTTTTTTTTTTTTTGGCTTTTTAGGCAATTGGGGTTAAGTGACTTGCCCAAGGTCACACAGCTAGTAAGTGTCAAGTGTTAGGTCTGAGGCCGGATTTGAACTAGGTCCTCCTGACTTCAGGGCCGGTGCTCTATCCACTGTGCCACCTAGCTGCCCCCCTACCCATCTTTTATGTCCCATTTCAAATGTCACCTCCTCTGTCACTACTTTCCCTGGTCTCTCCCAGTCAGAACTTACCTTCTCTTCCTCTGTCCTTGAAGAGCACTCTCTTATCTTCTTATCATATTTTATTTTACAGTGAACTACAACTACACAATAAGTTTAAAGCATTTGTGCTTGTCATGTTGTCTAGTAGACAAGAAACTCTATCAAGGTAGATACCAGAGCTTTATGCTTTTGTACTACTCCCCAACACCTAGCACAGTCCTTGCTAAGGGATCAATAAGAATTAATAAGTTAATAAGTGGATATTGAATTAAATATATGAATAAATAAATTCAGGATGAAGAATCCAAAAATAGGCCTAGGCATCCCATTGTCTACCAAGTTAGATAAACAATGTAAGAAGAGGATGCACATAAATATTTCAAAGATAAAAGTGAATAGCTCTGAAAGCAGTAAATCCAGGACTAATTCATTATTGATACGGATCCCCATTTCCAACATTATTTTTGGGATAACAGGGTCCATTATGCCAGAGGCCTGAGAACTAGGGGAGGACAGAAGTTAGGGTGGGCAGGCCCCCATAACAGAGACCAGGAATATGCCCACATTGTCCAACCACTAGGAAAGGTATCTAAGAGCAAAAGCTACTATTGTTTAGTTCTTGCTAAAGAACAAAAAATGAAGTTTGTTCTCTACTCCCAATATGGTTTCCATCACCCTAGCAGGGATCCTTCCCTGGGTCTATGAATTTTTTTTTAATGTTTTGGTCATTGTGTTTCAATAAAATCGGTTTCCTTTGTAATTCTGTATATTCTGCTTTATGAATTTAAAAACCTTCTTTGGGGCAGCTGGGTGGCACAGTGGTTAGAGCACCAGCCCTGGAGTCAGGAGGACCTGAGTTCAAATCTGGCCTCAGACTCATAATACTTCCTAGCTGTGTGACTCTGGGCAAGTCACTTAACCCCAATTACCTCACAAAACAAAACAAAATAAAACAAAAACAAAAACAAAAAAACCTCCTTCCAAGAAGGCATGCGTAGACTTCACTAGAGTGTCAAAGGGATCTGCTCTAGAAGATTCCCAGCTTTAGGGAGAGATAAACCAAACCCATCATCAGAAGGATCCAGATGGATATAATAACACAGATGGGTGGTATTGCTCAATGCCTTCTATCCAGTAGCTACATACTTTAACTATCCATACTAACTGTGAGCTAAACTACTTTTTATGCTGCTAAAGACGTATATGTGTTAAATTTTGTACCTTCTAAATTTCAGTGACCTGAAGCAAAGACCTAGGTCATCATTCTAATTACAGTAAACTCTAGTGCTCTGGTGAAAAGACCCTATCCCTTTATCTTTGTTATCTCCCCAAGCCTGGTACAAAGTGTTATTCATACTAGGTACTTACATGTCTGTTGAATATGTATTTATTTCCATTATAATACTATCTTATACCCTGTAACCTCCCTCCCTCCCAATCCAATTCTCCTTTTGTAGTTTTATGAGAAAGTTTAAGGGGACTAATTATGGCTTGGAAAAAAAATCAATAGAAGACTAAAGTTGATCTTGTGTACAAATTCTATTTATATCCATAAACATAAATCATCAAGGAAAATATATTTACTTACTCCTTTTCCAGAACATGATTTGGTTGGTTCAGATTCTCTGAATCATTTGTGAGAACATTTCCCCGGAAACTATTGTCAATATCATTCATCAGAGACACTGTCTTCTCTTCATTCATACTCTCCATATTACTTTGAAATTCTCTTTCTGGAAGTTCTTTACTAGATCTTATAGCATTAATCTCTTCCCTCATCACGTCGTTTTTCTCTACAACAGCATTTCCTATTTGTTTACAATCCTTATTTGCCACATTTTCTGAGGACGCTTCGTTGAATTCCATTTCTTGCCTCATGACATTTCCATTCAATGATGAGATATTTTCTTTCCCCACAAATGCAGAAACCATCAGTTCCTTGTTTTCTTGTATCTGGATTTGGCTCATGCAATGATTTTCTCCTTCCTTAGGGGGAGAAATTTGAAGAAATGGTTGGCTGGAATCGGGAGCTGTTTCTGTATAATCCATTTTCCCTTTTCAGAAATGTTTCTTCCACCAAAGGTATTTTGGGAGGTAGTTGGTGTGTAAAGGGGAATATCCTCATGGTTCATGGCATATAAGTTAACTATGTCTTTTTCCTCTTTCTGAAGATGTATAACAGTGTTCCTCAAATTTTCACTTATTTTCTTGAGGCAAACTATAAGAGCATCAATTTCTAGATTTAAAAAAAAAACAATGAACACAATAATCAAATTGTTTCTACATTGTAAATATTCATCCAATAGAATCATATTTTAGAGAAGGAAGGAGCTTTACAAAATAAGAATCATATCTATAATGTAATTTTAAAAAAGTAATGTACTCTCTGCTGGAGCAACCCCAGGCACAGAAGCATAAATTATAAGGGCCCTCTTATATCCTATGTAAGAAACTGCTGCTGCTAGGCTGGGAATGTTCATCATTAAATAGCTAGTTACAATAAAGTTCTTTCCTATGAGTCAAAATCTACCTCTTTCTAAGCTTTCACCCATTGGTCCCAGTTCTGCCTTCTGCAACAACACAAGATGGGCTTCCTCCCTATTCTACATAGCTATCAGCGTTCCTGTAAGCCTCCTATTCTCTAAGTTGAACATCCTAGGTTCCCCCAACCATTCTTTAAAGTAGAAAAACTGTATGGCCTTTGAGCCAGGAGAAACTAGGCTTTGAAATCTACTTCCAGCCCTTAACTAGCTATCTTTCTATGGGCAAGTCACTTAACTTTCCTGAGCCTCATCTTCCTTAACTATAAAATGGGCCTAATGATATGTGCGGTAGCTACTTCACAATATTGTCATGAGGTTCAAATGAGGTAATGCATATAAAATGTTTTCTGTGGCTTAAAGCTTATATTAATAGTAACTATCATTGTGATTTCCAGACATCTTGAACATCTTCCTCCTAATACTCTCTAGTTTGTTAATGCCCCTTGTTAAGCATAGCACCCAGAATTGAACACAATTGCATGATTTAACCAACAGACAGTACAGTGAAGTTTTATGATATTATTAACAATTATGATGCTCCTTGCAAAGTGCTTGGCACATAGTGAGAATTTAATAAATGCTTTTCCATCTCATTGCATTACATTACCTGAAGAGGGTTGGGTTGAATGGGAGACAGTTAGTAAACTACCAAGCATGATCTAAATGTATTTTAAGATACTGCTTTCAATATAAAGGTCATTCTTAGTCATCTTTATATCTCCAGCAATGTCTAAGACACTCCATTGGAGACTTCCTTTCAAGTTGACATCAATCAGTTGTCTTTGGTTATAATTATTCTGCGAGATGCAAATCTACCCGTCCTGGAAAATATTTTGTCTTTATCAAATGCTTTCTTGAAGTCAAGATTTGCAATGTGTACAGCATTCCTCTGATTTGTTTAGTAACTTTATCAAAAGATGAAAATGGATAATTTAGTAAATTTTAGCATACCTAATATCACCTACTTGTATTTCCAAAGACACTCCATTTACGTCCAACATAAGGAACAATAAGAGTTTTCCTGTAAAACTTTATCAGAGGTAAATTTGGCTTGATATTTTAAAAAAAATTAAGTAAAATGAAAGTTAATATTTGAATGAGGCAATTTAATCATTTAATGTTATACTTTAATGGTATAAAATAGGTCATAGATGTGCACATAGAAGTGCAAACTAGAAATTTACTTCACCTCTCATTTTTGAGGATATGCCAATTTTCCTAAAAGGTATTGAAGGTATTGACATAAAGGTATTAAAAAGAAAGCGTTAGGATCACCATAACCTGTGTGCCTTAATACATGAAACATTAAATACTTATAATTGTAGCAAAATATATATTCACTTGCCTTGTCTCCAAATGTAAGGTTTCTGTTTGTCAAGAACATGCAGCTGCTGGCAAGTGGCTTGCAGTGTCCCTGTAACATGTTCCAAATGTTGGCAGAGAGCCCCACTAAGCTCTTGACATAGCATGATCATTGTAGATACCCATGTCCCTATGCCATCCTTATCTAGATGGTCACTGCACAAAAGGGTCTCATTTACCGATTGGTTTTGCCTCCAAATCTGCTTTAGTAGTTTATTTAGTTTACCTATGTCCATTTCAGTTGGATCCATTTCCTTCCTATTGTCAAGTAAAACACAACGAATAAATAAATAAACAAATAGATTCAAGCTTGTCACTAGTAACTATTTCTCAAACCTAGATATTCAAAGTTCGGCAGCTGAATTCTCACTAAATAGCATAGCAATTAATTCTTTGCAAAGCTTTATATCATTGTTAACCAATGTAAAGTTACTAGGTGACCAAAGGAGGGGCTTTTGGGAAATCAGTGAGCACTAGTGAACATACACCATGTGCTATTGTGTACAGTACAGATTAAACTCAGTTTCTGTTTTCTCTGCCAAGGATAATGATCTCTAGACTGAGAACTATGGGAGTAAAAAATAATTAGCAAACCAAAAACTAAGATAGTGGGAGGACAAGAAGCCACTTGGCTTCCCTCAAGAGGTCAGTTCACCAAGTCCAGATGACTGATGTGATTGCTAAGTTTCTTCCAATGATCATTAAAACAAAACAAAAACTCTAGAGGTTGGGAGACAAGCAAACATGTCCCCATGTTTCAAAAAGCATCATGAAACTCATTTTTCAAAATGGTGACACGTGTGACCTTCAGTGAATAACTTTCTATCTCTAATATCATCTGTAAAATGAGGGTAGGAGGTATGACTATGAAGCACTGGACTAGATAGCCTCTGTGGTCCCTTTCAGTTCTACATTTCTGCTGCTACAATCTCAAGTAATGTCCTCATTAACAAGATGGAGAGACGTGATTACATAATTCAGTAAAATGGATTAAGAAGGAAGAACAAAGGGACAAAAGGTGATTAAAGTAATTGGTTTCAGAAGAGCTAACACCAGTTTATCTGCACCAGGGGAGATTGCTATCAACCCAGATTGCCTAAGTTTTTTTTTTTTGGTCCAGATTCACTTGTCTTTATGTACTTTGAAAAAGTTATACGATATAAATTAATAATATCTCTTTTCCATCTAGCCTTGAGCCTCTATGCTTGGATTGCTCCTAGTACTTAAGAAAAATCTGTCTTTCTCAATACTCTCCTGGTGGAATTTCAACACTAAAGGTACACACAGAATCAGTATAGTAATAGCAACACTATTCAGCTAGCTTACATTCAACCCTAATCACAGACTACTAATACTTCAGTCACAATGTCCTCTTCTCATCACTCTCTGTATTGTTGCTGCTAGAGAATTTTTGGTCACAGAGGTTGTGGCAGGGTTGGACAGCAGCTCCTTCCTCTCCAACCTCCAGCATTTGTTGTATTTGGGGCCTTTTTACTGCAGTGCTAACTCTTCTCCCCAAGTTGCTGCTGAGGTTCCTGATGGCCTTCCCTAAGCACACTTTTACAAGTCTAACTCATAAGATTTTATGGTGTCCCTTTCCACAGGAATAGGAGTGAACCATCTCATCGGTCACGGTTATCATGCCCCAGGTGAATGGAGTAGATGGACACTAGAGAATATATACCTGCCTTTAGAACAGAATCTCTGGTGAACTATTACAGAATTATTAATGTGCATGTCTCAACCCAATCCTAAATTGTAAGCTTCTCAAGGGAAGAAATTTCAGTCTTGCTTTCTTTGTATTCCTAGACCCTAACAAGGGCCTTTGCACATAGTAGGTACTTAATAAATGTTTGGAAAGTTGAAATGTTGAATTATTGTCTGTCATTTATTTAGTATTTCCCATTTACTCTCTTGAATTTTTTGTTATTTCCTCAAATATGTGCTTTCATCTCCCAGAGAAGGTAAGTAGGTAGTAGTTATTAAATCCTACAGTCTAGGACCTTTTTCTTCAACCAATCAATCAACAAGCATTTATAAAGTACCTACTATGTGCCAGGTGTTGTGTATAGAGTATGCAAATTCAAAGAACAAAATAATTCCTACTTTGGAAGGGCTTATATTCTTCTTTTGGAGGAAATAACCAATGCATATTGAAGAAGTTATCTAGTCTAAACCCTTCATTTTGCAGGTGAGGAAACTGAGGCCCAAGGAAGTCAATTAGCTTGCTCAAGCTCACACAAATAGTAACCTAGGAACACTGACTCCAAAGCTAGTAATTTTTCCACCACTGTACCACGTAGTTTTCTTTTGATATATAAGCATATCCAAAATAAATAAAAGTAAATACAAGGAAGTTAAATATAAAGTAGTTAGGGAGGAAGCACTCTCTCATCTCAGGCCACTTCCTTTACAATCTATTCATCAACTACACTGCCACCCACACATCCAATCTTTTGTCAAATCTTGTCATTTATATCGTCACAACATCTCTCATGTACATCTCCTTCTTTCTACTCACACAACCAGCACACCAGGTCAGATCATCCACCTCTCACCTGGACTAATTATGACACGCTTTTAATTGGTTTTTCTGCCACATCTCACTTTGAAGTTAATACATTCAACACTCAGCTTCCAAAGTGACCTTCCCAAAGTACAGGTCTGACCATGTCACACTTCTACTCATTACACTAAAGTGGTTCCTATTACCTCTAGGCTCAAATATAAAATCCTCTATTTGGCATTTAAAACTCTCCAAAATCTGCCCTCTTTCTAACTTTCCAGGCTTCTTGCACCCCACTCCACACACTCTTTGATCCAGCTACACTGACCTATTTGTTCTTCACATGTGACCCTCCATCTCCCAGCTCTCTGTATTTCCATTGGCTGTGTCTCATGCTTGAAATGCTCTGCCCTCTCACCTTTGCTCCTTAACTCCCAGACTTCCTTTAAGACTTGGCTCAAATATTACTTTATGCCAGAGGTTTTTCCTAGTACCCTACCCCTCCCAGCTACTAATGGCTTCCTCTGAGATAACTTTCCATTTCCATTTCCCTCTCTTCTCTCTCTCTCTCTCTCTCTCTCTCTCTCTCTCTCTCTCTCTCTCTCTCTCTCTCCCCATATGTGTAAGTATGTGTGTTTTGGGGGAGACAAGTACAAATATAATTATATAAAACATTAATATAAATCTTACAAATGTATACAAAGTATTTCTATATAATGCA